CCTTGTCCGCATTTTTATGCAGTTTGGATATAGCCATACTGAACTTTTATCAAAGAACATAACATTGTCCAAATTGAAAGTCTATGCTCCACACTCGGTTCTTGGTGTGCAGGTTTTAGGAGTTGTGATGGATTTCCGCAAAATGCATTCTTATTGTCTCTTTAGAAACGTGAACTGTTCCTCTAGTAATCATAACATGCCTAATACTTTCTATGCTCATAAGTCTTCAGACGCCAATATACCAAGTCACCTCCTGTAATCAGCAGTCAATTTCTTTGTTCTCAATTCTATTTCTACTCGCAATATTTTTCAAAACACGGCACACAGTTGATAGTGGAATGTTTGTCCTCAGTGTAATGACCTGTGAGATCTGATTTCTTGATTGTATAATTCAGAAATAATCATTCTTTTTTTTCAAAGCTGCCATTTCATTTTCCACAGTGGTCTTGTGTGACGTCTGCTAGCTTGTTTACCATGGGCGACTGGTCATACTTTACAAATATGACACGAGGAGTTGTCTCCCTTGAATCAAAGTTAGAATAAGTTCTACATACACCGCTGATTATTGATGGTCAAAATGGTTTAAAAAAATCTCAATGCATTCTGGTCAAACTATATTTAAAATATCTCTTGGTGTTAATTGAATACTTCAACATCCACATCCACGTGTTACCCTTTACTTATGTACGATAACTAATAAAAAATACATATATGAAGTACCATAGCTATAGGTCTCATAAAAAATATATATTAGTCTCAAAGACTTTATGGTGTAAAGACATAAATCTTTACATCACAAATGTGCATTACTTTAAATAATGAAATACACATATTCATCCAGTTACTCGTCTGTCTTCTGCGAACATATTTCTAAACACATATCATAAGCAGAAATAAATATTTGACTTTTCAAATGATTCAATCGTTGATACTCTGTTGTTAGGTTTCGTTGATTCACCCCCATATGTTATGATGTTTAAGAAAAGACTATGTACTATCATGTGTCAAATGTTGTTTCTGTCAAGGGAGCTAGGTAATCAGGTAAGACCATTGGATTCGTGAAGATCAGGGCGACTAAGCTTGTCGTAAGACTAACAGGATCGGGTTGTCAGGCTCGCTGACTTAGTTGATATATGTCATCATATCCCAAATGCATGGATCGATGCTCATGATGCCGATCACTGGAATATCTGGTTCAGACTCGATTATTTACAGACCTCCGTCATAGAGCTGGAATATTGCTGAGTGCGGCGGTAAACAACAAACAAACAAACAAATAAAAGGTAGGACCATTGATGCCACCTTCTATTCACAACATACAATGAGGCCGTATCATATGTTGCCTCTGCGAAATGCAATTACCTGTATGCGTTATACTCAGGAAAGATGACCGTCGCGTTGTTGTACTGATATTTTGATGATTGTCATTCAAACAATGCTCTGAAGAACAATGAAATGAACAAAATAAAACGAGTATACTACTTGTTTTTCAGATTTGATTTGTGGGAGGATTGGTCTTAATTATTCCAAGAAAGATATTTATTAATCTCTACCCTTAGAAAAATGAGTTGAAACAGTTTGTGAAGAAAACGGATTTTAGTGACCACACCAGCCATTTATACAACTGATACTTTCCAAACTGAATTTGCATTAAGGAGTTTGTTCACATCGTATAACTCATCGCCCCGAGCACCTGGATAGATACAATCACAATGCAAACTGAATTCTCTGTAAGAGTTTTCATACATGATATAACATGATATATACACCTTTAAAACGAAAAGCAGCACCGACCTTATTGTCTTATATTCCGAACATCCACATATTGATATACAATATAGATAACTGGTTATAACTGAGCATTTAAATATGAGTACATGTATGTCACTTTGAAATGGGGGTAATAATCTCAGATGGATATTATGGGATCAAAGAGGATCTCCTTGACATCTTCCTTCTTAAGGTCACTGCAGATATGTGTCACAAAAAAACAAAGTTCATTTTTTTGTACCATTGAAGAAATAACTGAGAGTAAAATGTAATTTTCAGGAGAAAGAAGTGGACGTTAAACTTATAATATATTTCAGGATGAACAAGTCATCTGACGCTTAGGGGAGAGACGTGAAGCGACGACCTGGCGCGTGATATGGCGTCGCAGTGTAACAAACATGCATGGTGAAAGAAAAGCGACAGTGGTCGTTTTGTTTGACTGCAGTACGTTGCTAAATGCCATACAGAAAGGAATTGGTGTTTACGTGGTTATGAAACTCTGCTAGCCATAATTCCAAGGGCATCAACGCCCGCCTCGGACAACTTTTATTTAGTGGTTTGAATATGTTTGGGATAAGCCTGCGGCATGAGATATGATTGACACACCGTAATGTGACAGAAATACTGTAAAATCCAACTCACTCACTCACCCAGAACACTAGGAGGAGTTATATCTTTTCTTTGGGTGGCGTAGTAGGCTCTTGACAAATGCGTAGCTTGTCCGACTCATGAATGACGTTATCACTATGATGCAGCGACAGAAGGCAAATTGTATTTTTGTATTTCGTGTTGCAAATAGTTTATACCATATACCACATGCATATCGATACACCTAACGACTACCCCCTGCATTTAAATGATAATGTAATTGCAACATATATTGCATAAAAGCTAAAGTATTTAGCTGCAGTCATCACCTGAAGGTAAGAAATTCAATTTAAAATATCAATGCAAGAGAATAACCAGCATAACCATGCTACACCATGTGATGGATAATAGGTCCAGGCTAATGGTATCAGCTGCTTCGCCTACTAAAGTGTAAAACTGATTAATGAACAATGTTTAACAATTGTTAATTCTAATTGTTTATTCCAAAGTGGTGCTAATGATAAAAACACTCCAATACTTACCATTTTTACGACCATAATATTTTATCTCATCGTATATGCTGTGTAATTAGGGGTATTTTCTATATATTCAATGCATTGTATAGGCAAATGTAACAGTCGCAGAACAAAACAAATTAATGCATAGAGTAATGCACTCATGTGTTTAATAAACATTTGAAGCGACACCACTCTGGTAGAAGTTGCCTATTCAGCTAAGCATGATATTGGTCATAAATGGTTTGACCTTTCGGGACGTAGTCCACAGTAAGATGTCTTCGGAATTCCGGCGCGGTCGGGTAGCCTAGTGGTTAAAGCGTTCGCTCGTCACACCGAAGACCCGGGTTCGATTCCCGACATGGGTACAATGTGTGACGCCCATTTCTGGTTTCCCCCGCCGTGACATTGCTGGAATATTGCTAAAAGTGGCGTAAAACCATATTCACTCACTCCCTCTTAATGTAAAGTCATTGTCTACATTACAGCTGCTCAATTCATGATCTCACAAAGTACACGGTAGCACACAACTTGGTATTACTCACAAAGATAGTATTAATGTTACCCGTCTGTGGAGTCAAAACTTAATTATACTGTACTTCGCCACAGCCGACCTAGCGGGAGTTGTACTTCCGACCACAGTTACATAGTCATATCTTTGGACTGCAGACCGTCTCTCGTTGATAGATTATTGTGATAAAACAAGACGGACTTACTCCGGATAAAACGAAGTACTTGGACTGTTCGTTATATCCGTTTCTCTTCGTGGACGATGATGATAAATACCGATAATGGAAGGCACAGTTAGGTTCGTTAATCATTCTTTTACTGCACGGGATTTCATGTTCGTCGGAAGTTGGTGTATTGTCAGAACACCCACAGGGCATGGTTGACCTAGGGGTCTAAGGCGCTGAAACTCGCTATTGTTCATCAACAACAACGGAATACCTAGTCACTTTGAATGCGTAAGATGTATATGCTGCCTGTACTTTGTTGTTGTTGTTTATTCAGCAAGGTAAGGCCATCGGCCCATGTCACAGCAGTTGCACCGCAGCCATTATTATAATTGAAATTTACATCTGCAGTTTTGTCCTCAATTGCATAGACTTATAAATATACATAGCCAAATGTCTTATGATATTACATTTATCACTTGGCATCAAGACATTGAATTTATGTAATGTGGGAAATTCATAGTAGTTCACGGAGAGCGGAAGGTCCGGGGTTCGACCCCCGGCCGCGTCATACCAAAAGACATTAAAAGATGGTACTTGTTGTTACCCTGTCTGGCGCTCGGAGTCAGTATACTGTGTCTGTGTGGGGTATTCATGTTAAACTGCGTCATGGTATCTCAGTGTGCTAGCACTATAAATCGGCATCAGTCCGGACTAGTACAAGCAGCGACAAAAATCTTTCCATATTCATTGTCAATTTCTATATTCTGTCAAAAGCAGAGTCGATTGTACGCTTCTGACTATATTATGAGCATGTGTCTATGAATCAGTATAAAGCAGTGTTGATACAAGGTTTTCGCTAAACGGTAAGTGTATCCTGCCCAACCGGTGGCACCCGTCACAGACAAAAGTAAACATGTGTCAGTTGTTCAACTAAAAATACACGGGACCATATGCTACAAGTCAAAATAGGGAAATGCATCGGACATCATTTTTGTCACTGAAGCGTCAAGTTTAGAAACCTCATCCACATGTTGACTTATGGAACGTTACCCCTCTCGTCATACAGTCTTGTGGAAGAGTGATGTGTCACTCTGAAGCTTGATGCATAGATCTGAATATGAAACAGATGGGGCGGTCTCACTGGCCTCCTTTATTTCTAGTTCAGTAGGGTAAATCAGTGGCTCTTTGGTGGTCATTGAACGATATCAGACTTTGCCAATCCGAGCCGAAATTCCGATTCATATGCATAAAGAAACAGATCAGCAAGAAGGGGAGCACAATAAGTGCCCATGGGTATAACTTCTTCTTACAGTATTTCACATTTTGTTTTCTCAGTAGACTTTACATGGTACATGCAAACTGTTAATGGTGTACTTTATCAGCCCAGTCTCATATTTGTCAGTTTGAATACCATATCTCATTGGCTACCCTGAAGCTCAGCAAGTCAGTCAGCGCCGTGACTCCGGAATACCCACACCACACCGAAGGCTGAAGGTGTGGGCCAGCTGCACCCATATGACGGACCTTTAAAACATTCGCCACTGCTGGTTGACTCAGGATGTAACTTGGCTAACCCGTCACCAACACCTAAAGGTAAGCAACTGCCGTGGTCCTCACACAGTCCATGTACTGCTTTTGTATAAAAGTGTAGGGACATATGCGCGTCGCTAGTGTATGTGTGCTAGTGTTATTATATACAGTGGATCGCTGTAGTTTGAGTACGACCTCCTGCGTGGTCTAGTGGATAGAGCGTCTGTCTGGAGAGCGCAATGTCGGTGGTTCAATTTTCGGCCGCGTCATACTATAATACGTTAAAAGATAGTATCCTGCCTGGCGCTCGGCATTGAGAGGATAAGCGCAGACATATATCCACACACAGACAGACAGACAGACAGACAGTCAGAGACCGAGACCGACACAGGGACAGATAAAGACACAGACAGTCCCAGAGCAAGTATCTTGAACGCGGACAGACACAGAGACATCCACAGACGGACAGACAGACAGAGACCGTAACAGAGACCGACAGAGACACAGACAGACCCAGAGCAGCAATAATCTTGAACGCGAACACACACAGAGAAATACACAGACAGAGATCAACACACACAGACACACAGACTGACATCCACACTTACAGACACACACAGACAGAGACAGACACAGAGCAATAATCTTGATCGCACACACACTCGCATTCATGCACACAAACAGAGACAGACACATACAGACATCCACACATACAGACACTGGCAGACATCCACACACACAGACAGATAGACACAGAGACAGAGAGAGACAGCTACAGAGCAATAATCTTGAACGCACACACACTCGCATTCATGCACACAAACAGAGACAGACACAGACAGACATCCACACACACAGACAGATAGACACAGAGACAGAGAGAGACAGCTACAGAGCAATAATCTTGAACGCGAACGACACACAGAGACACAGACAGACATCCACACATAGAGACAGACTGACACAGACATGCACACATACAGACAGACATACAGACATTCACACATACATACAAACAGACAGACATGAATCCATACACAGACAGAAAGATATCCACACACACACCCAGACACTGACATCCACACGCAGACAGACCCCCCCTCCCCCACACAGACACACAGACACAGACATTCACACACACACAGACAGACAGAGACAGAGCAATAATCTTGAACGCAGACACACACATACACACACAAAGACACACACACACAGACAGGCATCCACACACACAAACATACACATACAGACAGATATACATCCATCGACACACAAAAAGACATACACAGACAGACATTCACATACACACAGACACAGACATACATCCACATACACGCAGACATGCAGATCTGGCTAGCCAACAGTTACTTATCTGCAATCACACCTCACTATTTTTTTAACGATTTCGGTATTGGTTTAAACAACTGTTAGTCACTAGACCGTTTTAACATTTCAAAGTATGATCAGTGCATAGCACAGCAGTGACATAATCAAGATCAATCAAGGACTTCATGTCACATCTATGTTGTCTACTGTTGTAGATGAACTGCATGTGACCAAGGGGTTTTAGCCAGCACAGTGAAAGAGGCATAGCTTCAGTATGGGACTCTACTCCACCGTCTTCCTGCTTCTGGCCCAGCTGAACGGGGTCATGACACAGGGTAAGATTACCGTCGGTAAAATACACATGACTGGGCTCATGGGCGGATACAGCTTTTTTGAAAAGGTGGTGGTGTCTTTGGTGGTAATTTATACAGAAAAAAAGATTTGTTTTCGAAATAAAAGGGGGGGGGGGGGGGGGGGGGGGGGGGGAGGTGCATCCGCCCATGGCTTGTATGTATGTTATATGCTGTCAACTGCAGGTAAAGTTATTGATCGACTGTATCAAACTAGGTCTGGGACGGGTAACTCGGGTACTCGGGTCGAGTGGGCCCTGAAGAGGACCTGGGTACCCACATGACTATTAATGACATTAACAATAAAACTCAATGGGTACACTACAAGTATAGCTAGTGGTAATATTTCTTTCTCACTGACGTTCTTACTTTTATATGTTCGAGTAAGTATAAAGCGTCTATCAACTGCAGTGTATGCATGATCAGATTGTTTTATACGTGTATCTAAATAGTTTGTGCCAGGGCTGCGGTAAAACAATTCCCATTCGGACATTTCGTACCCAACTCTTGAGACCTATAGCGGGTATCCGGGTAGGCCCGGGTAATAGTGTGTCGGGTACCCGGGTAGTAAATTTGGACTCGTCCCAGCCCTAATCGAAACTGATCTGCTCACTGTGGCATTTAACGCCATTGTTAATAATAAGAATATCTTATCTCGAACTACGGATAACACTATATATCCCATGTTTTTTTGCATTAACGAGGTATCCTTATATTCGTTACTTGGGAGTTTGTTACAGCAAGAGTTGAATATAAATATGTGTTTAATTTTATTGAGAGTTTTCGAACATATCATCGGGTCTGATTACGTCGCTGAATATAAAATATATTTAAAAACAAATATACCTCTATAAGTAGATGTCACTTAAAAGATACTTAAAACTGAATAAACACCCTATAAACACTCCTACTGCGTGAGTCATAATCACTCCCTGCATGTTGATAAGAATAGTACTTGTCTTCACCAGAGAGTATTCAACGTGCGTCAGGGTACACACCTAACATTGTACACCTCATAAATCTAAGGCACCCGGCAGTACGTTGTCAGCCTCGGGTGGTCGATAGTGAAGGGTCTTGTTGGATCAAAGGCATTGGGTACATTAGGTACATACAATAAGCATTACTTGTGTATTCTAGGCATCAAGAAGTGAGTACAACGTAGATAACATAGTGGATTGTATGATTTAAAGTAAATGAAATCAGGCATAAAGGGCGTTTCCTCTTTTGGACGTGGCATCTGAATAATTAGTTATTTTCAAATGGACGCAAATGTGATTTGATTCAGCTCATTAGTAATGAAATATTGAAGACACTAAAGAGACACATTGACACATTGAGGTTTTACCTCTTATGTGTGAAAGAAAAGACTGACTTGGAAACAAAAACACATTTTCCTTCACGAAAGTATGTCTGCCCGAAGACGGTTCAAAGGTAAAAAATAGCATACCTTCGCAAATACCTCGGGGATAACATTTATATAATAGCAAGCTATACATATGGAGATGCCATTGTTTATTTGCAGTGACTTTAAGTGACAGCAAATAACTTGTTACATTGCAGTGTATCTTATTGCTAAACAGACGCGACGTTAAACCCAATTTCACCTCACCTCACCAATTGATGAACAATGACTGTAACTGTGTTGCATTGTTTCTGTTGAGATTCGGTAGACACTCATTGCATTGTGTTTGGACAGTGATCAGTCGTCAGGAAGTTACCATATTTAGATGCCTTCTTTGTACGTTCTTTTAGTACAGATTTCTGGGTTAACATACTGTTTCAGTTTGGGACCTGTGAAAAACTCAGGACAGCATGGTCCTTCGAGAAGTTTCCTGACGTGACAACTTCTAGAAGGCTGGCTGTAACTCTTTAAGCGCGAGACCAGCACGATTCGAGGCCTTTTACAACCTGACTGGCATCGTATCTAATTGGACCGCCTCCGTGGTCCAGTGGATAGAGCGTCTGCCCGGAGAGCGAAAGGTCGTGTGTTCCATCCACGGCTCCGTCATGCGAAAATACGTTAAAAGATGATAGTTGTTGTTACTCTGCCTGGCGCTAGGCATAAGGGGCGTTAAATAAGGACTGGTCAGCTGGGAGTCAGTATTCTGTATCTGAGTTGGGTACTCATGTTAACATTCGACATGGTGTCTCACTGGACTAGCTCTATAAAGTCGGCATTAGTCCGAATTGTACAAACAGCCGATTCAGAAACAGAGTTCGGCCCTTTTTCAAGCCGTCTCGCCATTCACAAGTGCATTGACATATATTGTAGGGACCGTTACCTATTGCAGCTGCCACTTATTTGACCGATTGTATTTTACCTTCTGTGAATTTAAACCCCAAAACTCTGTGTTTCTTTATAATGTGTTTATAATTCATTGATCGTGCATGGTCATTAACTTATTTCATAATTTAGTTCCGTATGAACCGATTTCAGGTTAACCTTTGCATTTCAATGTAGAAATCACCTCGCAACAGTTTCCATATTCGTGTATTTAGTCTGAATTGTAAGTGAGTTATGTTTTACGCCGCTTTCAGCAATATTCCAGCCGTATCACGACAGGGACACCAGAAATGGGCTTCACACATTGTACACATGTGGGTAATCGAACCAGGGTCTTCGGCGTGATGACCGGAGGGACAGTCCACTTGTTTCTCCACCACCCCTGTTTCTGAATAACCGGAGCAAAAAACAAATATGTATTGGTTCATGAAAATATGTCTGTTTCAAAAGGGTCCTAGGCAACGTTGACTGGTGCAGGCAGTCTATAAATAGACAAATACAAAATGATAACATAAAAGTAAATCATGAAAGAAATTTACATACTGAGTCAAGAGTTCCATAATTTGATAAATTACTTTCATAGTTTTCTGTTGACTTACCGTCGTGTTCTACATTCGTGGTGGCCGTTTCCATGAACCCTATTTTGCGTTTTCGCTTATGAGTGGCTGTTTTCCCTAATTATCCGGTGGCCGTTGTCTCCAGTTTCCGTTTCATACACTTTGTATATTACAACAAATCTGTATGCCACCCCATTAAAGATTTATGAGTGAACAATGTAACTAGGAAAAATTTGCGCTTTGAATCCTATTTACATTACAACACAGCTCTATACCGCCTTCACAAGTACATAATGTAGAACGCATCTAGGCCAAGTGTACATTTCTTGAAGGATATCAGTTATTATATCACAGAAAACTTTGAGGAGAGCAAAAATAAAAAAAACCATTGCTTTTTGCCGTAGCCTTGTTTATTATATTATGATTGCATTTATTCAATACCATAGGAAAAAGCTATATAAATTTGCTTAATGATTCAGGGTATTGAGTCTTTGCTGTGGGTGACGCGTTGGGTCGGCCTTATTAGGTGATTTGTGATCGGGGGAGGAATGAAGGGTATGTGGCTCCCACTTTACGACCATGGGCCCGTTAGAAAAAAGGTACCATCTAAACAATGTTCCATTTTTTGGCTTGAATGCTGAAACGCTATATGGAAACGCAATGCTACTTGCATGGACGGAAGTTTACATAGTTGTAGTATTCATTGATTAATATATCATAAACAGTGGCAACTTTGTATCGCGACTTTATTGTTTTCGGTCGTCAAAAAAAAAGGATAAAGTTATATAAATCGTAAACACTTGCCATCATAAAACTATTTTTGGCAACTTGATGACTAACTCAAGAGTGTAGGTACTCATTAAAACGCATATGCCTGGTTATTCGTGTTCGCATCTCTGTTACAAAGTAAAGAAACGACACAGTCTTTTAAAGGCATATTCTAACGAATCACTTTCAAGTTATCGTGAGGACACCGGGCGTTTCCAATGAATGTCCGGTTTTACCGAAGATCTATAGTACTGTATACGAGTATTTCCCAAGCTATCTTATGGTAAACTGGACAATATTCAGCTATAAACATCAAAATAACGTTCCCGAGGCATGTCGTGTTTTAAAGGTGTTGTACACGACGTGTAGGCGAGGACGTCTCAGTTTATTATATACTCTTAAAAAAACCCAACTTGACACTGACTTTCAAAATGTAATATAATGCGATTGTTTCAAAATAAGACACAAAAAACAGAATTGAAACACTGTTTGAAGATCAATATACACAATGTTCAAAACATTAATCGTGTCACCTAGACAGACACACGTACACGATACAGTTAATGTCACAGGGGTACAGAAAATGTCACTATCGGTTGTGCCCAGCACGTGCATCAATCATCGCTTGACACCGCCGACCCATAGATGCAATCAAGTTGTCAATAACACGCTGTTGGATGTGCTACCTTTCATGCTGAAGTGCATCAAGAAGCGCCGGAAGTGTTTGGGGCGGTGGATTCCTTCTGCGAACGCGTCGATCCAACTCGTCCCACAGATGCTCAATCGGGGACAAATCTGGTGACCGGGCTGGCAAAGGTAATGTCTGGATGTTGTTTTGCTGTAAGAAGTCCTGACAAACACGTGCAATATGCGGTCGAGCGTTGTCCTGCTGGAACTGTCCGCCATGAACGTTGACGTGAGGAAGAACGTAAGGCTGTAGGATCAAGTTTCTGTAACGCACACCTGTCAATGCACCTGCCACATGCACCAGAGGCGTCTTACCACCGTGATGAATTCCGGCCCATACCATGACACTACCACCGCCAAATGGGACAACCTGCTGCACACAGTTGGGGGCGTAACATTCACCCCGACGTCTGTAGACACGTGCGCGCCCATCAGCACGTGTGAGTAGGAAACGGGACTCGTCAGTAAAAAGTACATTTCTCCACCTTGCACGTGCCCATCTAACCCTGTGTTGGCACCAAAGCAGACGGTCCGCCAGATGACGTGGGTCAATACATGCCGTCGAACAGGTCTTCGTGTAAAAAGTCCAGCCTCCCTCAGTCTGTTGCGTACCGTTTGATCTGATATTCTGCGTACCCCAGGGATCTGTGTGGTTGTAGACGTGGCTGTGGTAGTGCGGTCTCGGAGGTGTCGCAGCCGGATGTTTCGATCTTGTGCTTGGGTTGTCACCCTTGGTCTTCCTGACCTTGGTCTGTCGTCAACTCTGTTGGTGTTGTTGTATCGGGTCCACAGTGCGGAGATTGTCTGTCTGGATACGCCAAAGTGCCTGGCCACTTCTTGCTGAGTTGCTCCAGCTTGTAATCTCCCAATGGCGTAGTTCCGTTGAGCTGCATTCAGTGGATAAGGACTGTATGAACAGCCGTTGATGTGGATTTTTATACCCATTCAGCAGGGGGCCTGCATGCCTAAATGCAGGATCCTGTGCTGCACGTTCTTTACAGGCGGTTGCGTTTGGATGAAGCTGTAAAATTGACCCCCAAACGCTACGTTTATGTGCTTTGCATGTGTTTTCGCGAATTATAGACACATCATCTTTCTGTTTGACTTATTTGGTTCTCATTTAATGTATTTATTATAGATATTTGGCAAAAAGTGGTTTTACATCTATGTCAAGTTTCTTTTTTTTAAGAGTATATATTACATCGGGGAGTATTCAACAGTAAACATTTCACGTAGCCTTGGTGGCTATATTTGGTTTAATTGTTCTTTCCAGAAACGGCTCCAGAAATAAAAATGCCTGATGTGCGTCGGATGGAATACATTTCCAATCAACAGGTCCGTTTGATGTGTCATGCCGAAGGTGTACCAGTCCCTAGGTAAGTACGACTTTTGTCACAAATCGTTATTTCAAAGTATTTCATACAAGGGGGAACACTAACTGACCTTTTCGGTCGATGTTATTTGAAGGTTGAATTATGTATTTCATTTTAGTAAAAGATGTCACCATCTTCACTCTTCTCTCGTTAGTTCGCAATGTAATAAAAACATTATTTCACAATATTTCAGCATACATGTCTTCTTTCAAGTCATCAGACAGTATGTCTAAAATCTGCAATTATTACATTAACAATTATAAGTCGGAAAATGAGTCCAAATGTTTGATGCCAAATAATGATGTAATAAATATGAATTGAAGCTTGTGAATTATATTTGTGTGTTCCTAAGATACTATACTTTTAAAATATAATGACAAGTCAAAATGTGATATTACACCCATAAGGTCCCATATCTCATGGTTGGTCGCAATTACGAATAAGAGTAAAGACACGAGTGGGTAGGGAATAAGGCGCGTTTAGCACGAGAAATGGGTTTCACTTATTATAAATGTGTAATCGGACCCGGGCATTTTTGTTATGACGGGCGATTGCTTCTACGAGTAGGCTACTCTAATGCATGGTGTAATTTAGACAAATGAAAGTCTACACTATGAAAGTTATCACCTGCTGTTCGATTCCTTGAAACAAGCTCTTTTGATTCTTTAAAGATCTGCTTTGAAACTGCGTCTTGCTTGAAGAACAACTGAACCGTTGAAGTAGTTGTAGAATGAGAGTTCTGTATTGATACAGTCAGTTGGTCAAATATCCTGTGCAATATCTGCTTAACAATGACTTGTAGAAGAGCCTGACTACCTGACAAGCATAAGTGAACCAAACCCTAGGTAAATAATGCGACAAAACCCATCCCATGTCCAATAGAAATCTGCATAAAGCAGACTCAATTGTACGATTCTGACTATATCATGAGCATGTGTTTATGGATCACTCTCAAACAGTAATGATAGCAGATGTTCGCGAAAAGGTGAGCGTATCTTGCCCCACCGTTGGCTCCCGTCACAAACCCGTGCAAAGGCAAGTCGATTGTTCGTCTGAATGAAACACATGGGAACATATCGTACAAGTCAAAATAGGGAATAACATCGGACATCATTCTTGTCACTGATGCGTTAGATTTGAAAATGTCCTCCACATGTCTACCATAAAACCTTTTGAATGCTTTACTGAGGCCTTGAAAGTTTTAACCTTGACCAAACAAATTCTGAGCAAGAATTGAATGACGGTCTTTGAAATCTTGGTAGAAAGAGCATGCTCGATTGTATCTCAAAAGTTGTGAAATGTAAACACCAAAGGCTGGAGCTGCAGGAATATTGCTCGACATGAAGGAAATGTTGACTATTGGAAAGTTGAAGTCATCCCTCCAGTTATACAGTCTTGTGGAGAGTGTTTTGTCACTCTTAATCTTAATGCATAGATCTAAGTATGGAACAGATGAAGCAGTCTCACTGGTCTCCTTTTCTTGGCTTCAGGTGGATAAATCAGTGGAAGGGAATTAGCTTTTTGATTGTTATTGAACGATGTCAGATCATCGGTATACCTGAAGCTTAGGTTGAACTTCTTGTCCAAATTACCTCGTATTGACTTTGCCAATCCGAAAAGAAATTCCAATTCATATTCATAAAGAAACAGATCCAAGAGAAAGGGAGCACAATTGGTGCCAATGGAGATGCCTACTTCTTGTCTAAATGTCTTTCCCCAAAATGTTACGTAGATGTTATCAATGAGGAAGTCCAGCATTTCACATATTGTTTTCTCAGTAAAATTCAGATGGCATTTGCTTTAATGTTTCACAAATTGTCCTGTCCTGTCCTTTTCAAATCGGTTACTCAGCATTGCTGTTGTCAATATAGCTTGTTTCCAGCCTTTGACGTTTCGGAGAAGAGAAATCACTGTGCTCACGGCAGAAGTTAATGTTTATTGTTCCGCCGTATGTGGGATCCATTCATAGACATTAAGCGTTTCATTGCCAGTGCGTGTCTTTGTCTGGCGTTCAACGTACCCATGAACTCTCCACTATCAGATCCTCTTTTAAGATAAATGTTGTTTGTTGTTTTACGCCTCACTCAGCAATAATTCAGCAAAATGTTTTCAAATAGTCAAGTCTGGATCCAACAATCCAGCTTTTGACATCATGAGCATTGATCTACACAGTTCGGATACGATGACATGCATCAACCAAGTCAGCGAGTCTGACCACCCGATCCCGTTAGTCGCCTCTTACGATGGTGGTATTTAGACATATGAAAGTTAACCTATTGTTGGTACTGACTGCAAGTACTGTTTTTCGAATTCCAAAATACGTTCTGGTTTGGTTTATTCAGTTGAAATCTTTGAAGATCTTCTTTAATACTACATCTTGCCTGAGGTACAACTGCACCGTTCCAACGACAGGGACCATTTCCATTCATACAAGTTCCATTTATATCGTGTCTGATTGCAGGTACAAATGGTACAGAAATGGGTCACTAGTTGTCAAATAACCCCTGAGCAACACCTGTTTCACTTGAAAGTGTAAACATGACTGTTGTAGAAGAGCCTGACAAACATAGGTTCCAGAGGTTCTATTCTCACTCGGAACCGCAGATGCGTTAACAGTGTAATAAGTCATTAAAGACTTTGAGGCCACAATATCCACTGATGTCTTTTTGTCTGATTGCAGGTACAAATGGTACAAAGACGGGGCCTTAATTGTCTCCGATTCTATCACACAAGTAGATCCAGTCACTGGCAACTTGTCCATACCAAGCTTCACAATCAGGGAGGAGGGATTATACCAGTGCGGGGCGGAGAACACCGTTAGTCCAGGGGTGACTCCATTAGCCGTATCCCCCGCCATTAACGTCAGAGAAGTTTGTGAGTAGATATATCTATGTACTGCTGCAATATACAGTCAAACCGATTTAGCCTGGACCCTGCTAATCCGGCAACCCCACCTTATACAAAGTGACATTGCTCCGTAACCATGATTCGTTAAAATGGAAATTTGCAAATCCAAACGCTAACGTCCGTAAGGGGTTTCACTGTATACTGTAATACTGTGTGCGCGTATATGCAAAGAATAATGATTTAACAATATTGTATATGTTCAAAATACAATGTGAAATAAAGACAGCAAGGCTGTATCAGTATAATTCGATAATACGATGAAGTGAAGACTTGTCACATGTCGACTCCCACGAGTACACGCATCCGTGTTCCGTCAGAACAACAATACACCGTGCTTGCATTGTATCATAACATCTATGTAAAAAAAATTTATTATTTTTTTTTTTGGGGGGGGACATTTAGGAAAGATGTAAGCATCCCCATGGGCACCAATTGCGCTCCTCTTCATGCTGATATGTACCTTTATGCATTAGTCAAAAGAAGGTAATTTGGCCAAGAGGATCAACTAAATCTTGAACCTGAACCAGAATTAAGTAAAGGAGACCAGTGAGACCGCTTTATCTGTTTCATATTTAGATCTATGCAAAAAAATACAGAATGACAAAAGACTCCCCACAAGAATATATGACAAGAGGGATAACTTCAAATTTCCAAAAGTTATCTTTACCTTTATGTCGAGCAATATTCCTGCTGCTCCAGTCTTTGGCGTCTTCAATTCACAACTCTTGACATCCAGCATGCTGTTTGTACCAAGATTTCTTGCTCAGAAGTTGTTTGATCAAGGTTACAACATTCACGGTTTCAGTAAAGCTTTCAAAAAGTTTAATGAACATGTGGATGACAATTCCATCAGTGATGTCCGATGCAATTCCCTATCTTGACTTGAAGCATGTGTTTTTTCATGTGAACAATTGACTTGCCTTTGCATGTGTTTGTGACGGGTGCCACCGGTGTGGCAGGATACGATCAAATATCGCAAACGCCTAGTATAATCAATATTTGATTGCGATTCAAAAACACATGCTCATGATATAATCGGAATAGTTCAATCGACTTTGTTTTTGACAGAGATTTCTTATGAATATGGAAAGTGTTTTGTCGCTTTTATTTTTTGTGTGTTAATATTGTCCGACAAAAAAGGAAAGGACATAATATTGAAAAGGTGAGGTCATCTTGTTTTTTTATCACTTGTTATGCATAGATTCAAATATGAAATAGATTGTGCGATTATTTTTCACTTTCTTTTATTCAGGCCGGTAAAATCAATAAAAGTCAAATCTCAAATTTTCCACATTTCAAACTACTCTATAAGGTTACTTGGGAATTAAGGTAATCCAACTCTTTGACAAAACTGAACACAAAAATAGTCTCAATTACAATATTGACAATTGAATTTTGAAAATTAAAACATGAAACATCGATGTTCAGTCAAATAAGGCTCTCGTACATTTGAACCGAAGAATCAACGAGTGAGTGAGTGAGTATGGTTTTACGCCGCTTTTAGCAATATTCCAGCAATATCACGGCGGGGGACACCATTGTCGGGAATCGAACCCGGGTCTTCGGCGTGACGAGCGAACGCTTTAACCACTAGGCTACCCGACCGCCCCGAAGAATCAACGAAGAAAGGGAGGGGAGTTGTAATATGCAAAATACATCTGATCAATACATTAACCTTTGAGTATGTACAACAAAATTTCATGACCCATGAATAGACTAGTGATAATATCGGGGAAATGTTTACATGTAATGCCAAATGATTTGCAGCCATGTTTGTCTGCAGAAACACTCATACATCGGGAAACAACTTTCTAAACGTAGTGGAAATGTCAAATATCATTTTTGTTTTATAACGCAGACATTACATCGATGTAACACAACTCATTTGCATATTTATATACCAACACTTCAAGCCCCACCAAGAGAGCATTGATAATAACGGGGTGTACGCTATGTCCCAACATATACGACCTTTAACGTGTGTATTTACAGCACTCGGTGCAAACTGGCCTGTGATCCCTGTTGAAGACATCAACAAATTCGAAGGAGCATACGCCAACCTGCTATGTACAGACGCACCAGAAAGTGTCCCGAAAGCTCAAGTCGCCTGGTTTTTAGAATCACCCAACGGGGCAAAGAACCAAGTGGAGGAAACCACCAGAATCCACGTTGACGATCAAGGTAATCTTTGGATAGAGATAAAGCGTTTAGTCGGATGTCGGCAGATGGTGTTTAAGCTTAGCAACAGTTTCAAAGTGACTGTTTCAGAGCATTGCTATTTGAGAACCATGATAAGGATGACAAAAGAATATACACTTTTGATGATGACAAAGCAGTATCCACACCCATTAGAAATCTCTGCATAAAGTAGAGTGGATTGTACGATTCCGACTATATCATTAGCATGTGTTTATGAATCACTATCAGGGATGATATCAGGTTTTGGCGAAAAGCTGAGCATATCCTACCCCACCGTTGGCACCCGTATCAAACACACGCAAAGGCAAGTCAATTTTTCACATGAAAAAAAATTCTACAGGTCAAAATAGCGAAATGCATCGGCCATTATTTTTGTCACTGATGCGTGTTATTTGTAAATGTGATCCAGATGTCTACCATAAAACTTTTTGAAAGCTTTACTGAGGCCTTGAAAGTTGTAACCTTGACCAAACAACTTCTGAGCAAGAGTCGTGTGACATTTTTTGAAATCTTGGCAGAAAGAGCATGCTCGATTGTATCTCAAAAGCTGTGAAATGTAAACGCCAAAGGCTTGAACCGCAGGAATATTGCTCGACATAAAGGGAAAGTTGACTATTGGAACGTTGTCACTGTAAATCTTAAAGCATAGATCTAAGTATGCTGGATCTGCTGGAATATTGCTCGACATGAAGGGAAAACGACTTTTGTCTTGTTCTCACTTGGTGTATAGCTCTTTCCACGGGGATATTTTAGGCTTGTTAAAACACATTTCTTGTTTAACCTGACTTGACCAATTAATTGTTTAAACACTGTTAAGAAACGGCTTTGCAACAAATTCCAACTCTTTGCACGCACAAGGCCATTTATCGTATGTCTGATTCGCAATAAAACCTAACCTTGGTCACCAAAATAGGTCGCGTGGTACAGAGGAATCTCGTTCTCTTATTTAGATTCGTTTTCTAAAAATGAAAACTAGATAAAATCCTACCTCTCTACTTGGACAGTTGTTACTATATGCATACGCAATGCATTCCATCTCTAATAGTCTACTGGATGATATTGCATGATTTGTACTTCATACAATTTTTTTCAAAGGAACGCTGCATTTTATCTACTTGGAGACAAGTGACCAGACGGGCGCCGATCTGTACAAGTGTGCCATCTATAACAATATCCTAAACACTGTTCAGCTAGGCAGTCCAAAGAGTCTGACAGTTACTCCGGTTGCCAGTGAGTATCGATTGCCTTGTGACAGGAGCTACGTTTTCGTTGAACGTATTAGTCATTTAAACATGAACAATCTTGTGTTTATTTCACAATTACGTCTTTTAGATTAAACCCCTCTTCCCACAGGTTATCTTCCCTTGCTTATATATAGCGTGTACTTGCCTGTTCTCTAGTTATTATTCAAAGTGTCAGAACCCTGCATTCTATAAGATAAGATAAGATAAGATAAGTGCATACGGCTTTGACACAGTATGTGATATATTTACCAACGGGGAAAAATAACAGTGCTGCACATAAAAATAAAGCTATTCTGAAATTGAATAGTGTTTCTTTCAATTCATATTCATGGAGACATCTCCTGGACTTTAAGGTCGTGATTCACAATTTGCACGTGCATGTTAATGCACGGTGCACAAGTTGAATGATTGTTGGGAGCATGATTTGGTTTGTTAATGTGGACAGCACTCAAGGATTGTTTCGCTATCAGGTACTCATAAAAACACCGTTGTTCAAAATTACATAGGGGGCACGGGTGGCCCAGTCGTCCAAAGCGCCGCGATTCACTGTGCAGAGTTGCGCCCCTTGGGCTCGCCAGAAACCTATGATTGTGGATTCGAATCCCGGGTTGACCCGATTATGTTTCTAGGTTTGTCAGCACCATACTCGTGTTCGTGGGTTTCACCGAAGTGGTAAACGTCTGACACTTGGATCACTTCGGGTTTTTCTCCAACATTAAGCTAACACGCCGCGATATAACTGGAATACTGATAAAGGCGGCGTTAAACTCAACTCACTCACTCACTCAACAGTAAATAACGCTGACGCAATGCCACGCTTGCTAAAAGTCAACGTTTACCAGACAGTTGCCAGACATTTTAATGTTGCCAGACATTTTAATGTTCATCGAAACACAATATATTATATTAAGACGTTATCTATAGCAGAGCAACACTCATGACTTGCCACAGGTCGGCCGTCCAGTTGTGACGTCACGTCAACATGACAAACACATTCTGTTGGTGCATCTACGGAATCGAAACCAAACTGCCACATTAAAAGTTCGGACAATTACGGCAAGACCATACTTCCACCGGCTAAGGGAGAACAGCATCCTACGCCGACGTCCAGCGATAAGCACAACTGACTTGGTTTAGCATCGGAGGTTCAGAAGACACGATTGGGATTGTATACTGTTCACAAATGAGTCCAGGTTTCATTTGTATAGTTCCGATGGTCGTGCAAGGGTATACAAACGCCCAGGATAACGGTATAGCGACGCTTGCGCACATCTTTTAACATACTTTTAAGGCCGCATACCATTTATCATTGCTTTTCTGCCATTGCCTGCTGTTTCTCCAGACCTCTCCCCCATAGCCCCAGAGCCAGCTGAACACATTTGGGATAATCGTTGTTTGACATTTGGAACAACATCGCTGACATCAGACGAATGACGAAATATTATGTTATTATTTTTTAAATAACATGATACAATTTACACCACTTTGTATGAGTGAGTGAGTTTGATTTACGCCGATTTTAGCAATATTCCAGCAATATCACGGCGGAGGACACCAGAAATACCCATGTCGGGAATCGAACCCGGGTCTTCGACGTGACGAGCGAACGCTTTAACCACTAGGCTACCCGACCGCCCCCCACTTTGTATGAAGAACAGGTACTTTGTTCGGCAAGTATATAAACAATCGTGTATGTGGTACGGAAATGGGGCACGGCTTGCCCAGTCGTCTAAGGCGCCGCGATCCGCTGTGCAGAGTTGAGTCCCTTGGGCACGCCAGAAATCTATGATTGTGGGTTTGAATCCCGGTTCGCTCCGATTATGTTTCTAGGTTTGTCAGCACCATACCCGTGCTCGTGGGTTCCACCGAAGTGGTAAACGTCAGAGACCTGCATCACTTCGGGCTTTCCTCCCACATTAAGCTGACACGCCGCGATATAACTGGAATACTCACTCACTGTCACATTGTGTATAAGATTCATGTGATCCATTGTTTGTTGAGGTTGACATCGACTCGTTTTCTAATTAAAGAAGCCGTCACAATTTGTAAGGATGATGGCTATTGAAAATACATGGACAAAAAAATAATTGATGACATCTGCGCAGGACAATATGGTTTTTGTTTAATATTCATTCAAACACATATGATATGATAATACAAACTGTCCCGTAACAATTCTTTCTAACATCCAAAGTCCAACACAGAGCATTGCTTCTGGGTGCCCTTCAACTACGATTTCTTGCGGACATGCGCATGTGTCTATTAAGTCTACTCAGTGTCTATTAATGTCCGTACATGTGCTGTATGTTCAGGAGGCCGGTTAAAAACACACCTGGTGTATGGTTATATATATATTTTTTATTTTATAATAATACCGAAAAACACCTTTTCTTTATGAATTTGTGTTATTTAAGGATAAGGTATATGTAGATGATATCAAGACATATTATTTTAAAATGAGACATTGACCCTTCAGCTTATTTTTACAAATGTGTCCGTATTTCACTTGTTTATATTGAATTACATAACGTTTCATAATTCTCATAACGTTCTTATTAATTACGCTTTCTGTACTTAACGCCTTAACAATACTTTCAAAATGTCACAGACCCATTTTAATGTAGATCTCTAAGTCAATCTATGGCAGATACAATATGTTGTTTAGTTATGGTTAAAACTCAACATGCAGGTAACTAACAACAACTGCCAAGTGGATATTGGTTCCTCATGAAAAGAAATGTATACAAACACTAAGTGAAAGAAACTACCCCACTAGGAAGCTGGTTCCTACCACAGACACTGATTCACAGGGAAAGGTCGTGCTGGGACATTGCCTCCGAGAATCTCAAAGGTCACTGTTGTCATTATCGGGGCTACTAATACCAGGAAAGAATGTCTTGAAAATATGCACATCGTTTTCTTGTCTCCGCCAAGTATTCAGTAGACAGAATATTCCAAGACCACGCTGTTTCCATTGATTCGATGGAGCTACTGGTCCATGGATAGAATGACTGAAGAAAATGTACTTTGTTTTTCACTTTCTTTGGCAAGCAATCAGAGGGAAAAATCGCACTATTTCCATTGTCTACTATTCCAAGTAGTGAATGAATGTCCCGAGACAGTGGACTTGCTTTTCTTGTCTAGAGCTACAAATACCAGGATAGGATGTCCTAGGACAATTTACACTGCCTTCCTTGTCGAGAGAACCACTAATCCTAGCACGGCTTCTTTTACAGACAATGAACAATGGCCATAGTCATAACTCAGTAGACATTTTCATTGAGGTATAATTTTGTATTTTGTTTCAGATAAACCGTAGGTACAACCTAAGAAAACTGTCTTCTTTTTGGAGAGCTACTTATCCTAGCATACAGATTTAGCATTGAATACAATGTTCACTGTTTTATTGCTTTGGACAAGTTATTCCTGGATATAATGTCCTATGACATTACTCTAGTTATCAATTTATCTGTAGGAAACAGTGTCCGTCGGAAATTGAGAGCGTCGAACTATGAGATGATGGACACCAGCATACACGGCTAGTAATTATACCCAATCTAGTAAACCAGCCAATTGCCATAGTCATAACTCAGTAGATATTTTCATTGACGTATTACTTTGCATTTTGTTTCAGGTAAACCGCAGGTAAAACCTATGGCCGAGTATACAACTAACCCTACAATATTCTTACGGACCCAGACGGCAGAGCTGGAGTGTGTGTTCAGTGGATAGTGAGTGCAGCTCGTTCATGATAGATTTGATATATTTCCGCAAGTACATGTTCAACATTGGCATGTCATTTGAGTAAATATACACCTGTTTGCCATATAACTCCGTTAATTATAACAACAATATATAGTTCTTACATTGGTACAGCAGCGTAGTTTTAAAACGATTTTGTATAGTCATCTTAAGCCTTCACAAACCTTGATTAAGGATGAATACTGATTTTAATACCATTGCACTAAAGCTTTTGGTACATGTGTTCTTAGTCCTCTACCAACAATCACGTGGCGCAAGGGGAGTAATATCATCACAGCAAGTGAGAAATATCAGTTCGACAAGAACAACAGGAAACTGAAGGTATTGAACCTGGTGGAGGAAGACGAGGGATTTTACACCTGCTTCGGGCAGAACTCAGTCAGCACAGTCCAGATTGCCATCTTTCTCGATGTCACGTGTAAGTTGTTCTGTATTGTTATGATGGGTCACGGTTCGTCTAACTCGTTGTGAAGAGTTACAAACCTTGGCCACCCAGATATCTTGTTCTCCACGATTATGATCTTTGATCTGTCAGTACCATATCCTTCCTCGTTTTGTCACCAAAGAGATAATTTTTTTACAATCGGCGTAACGATGAGATAGATTCCCTCCTATTAAGATGAAAGGCCGTGATATTTGAATGCAATACTGTTCAGAGCGGTGTTTAACCTAACTCGCACATTGTTCTTTTATGACCATGGACCATCACCGGATATTGATCAGAGTTGTACTCCATGTTGACACATAGATGTTTCGAGGCACGGTTTTCAATATTCGTTTAATCAGAATTTTGATGAACAAAGATGACATATTTTTTTTAATGTGTTAACTAATATATCCCCCACGTTTTAAAGATAATTTGGATTGGATTAAGTGTGTGACTAAACTGAGAGCTCTATGTTGCAGCTGGTCCTATTTGGGAACAGGCGTTAAGTTACCAGACTATACCAACGGGCAGGGACGCTGTCTTCTACTGCAAGTCCCGGGCAGCTGACGGGGAGGATCCCATTGACACACCCAACTGGTACATTAATGGGGATCCAATTAACATACTAAGTCCTCCAGGTAAGACTCATACTGTCCTTCTGTAATTTAAACGTCGCAATATTGATCCACAAATCTTGAACGTGACATAAAATCCCAGTTCACCCTACCTTCCATGTAATTCAGGTGCATGTAGACATGCGAGAAGTGGAGTCTGAGGCGCAATATCTGTGTTGTACACATTTTCTCAAATATCTTTTTTCTCACACTGATATGGCAAAATCCACACATGTATAATTACATTTATTGCCCTGCATTATGTAGAAGATATCGATGCCTTAAAATCAACAGTTGTCGGCTTAGAAAACATCGAGGAAAAAACATGGAAGCATGTCATTGAACAACAGCGTCACGAAACGACCAATCACAAACGAAACCAGATTGTCAGAGATGAATCTTTGTTTGTGTTAGAGAAACTCCCCCTTGCAAAATTTAATCATTATTGCGACTTTAACAAATGACTTTCGAAAGAATCCCTCGCAGACATACACATTTGACATGTATGGGTATAATCGTTCTAATACGATTATTTCAAAAACAATTCACATCCCTTTATAGGAAGCGGCAAGTTCCAGTTCGGTGATAGTGGAAGAGTGTTAACGGTCATAGGTCTGCAGAAACCGGACGATACCCAGTGTTTCCAGTGTAACGTCAGCAACAAAATAGACTATGAATTTGCAAATGGTTGCCTCAACGTCATCGGTAAGTGGTTATATTTGTCATCAAACATGGATACAAACGGATGGATACAAAGGGAGTTAAATCTTCATTCCTGGACAGTAATGTGACAGTTTCATGACGATGTTACTCAAGAACTGGTGTTAATTCGTGCAATGTGTGTTGTATGTATTTCTTGAGTGAGTGAGTTGGGTTTAACGCCGCTTTTAACAGTATTCCAGTTATATCACGGCGTGTCAGCTTAATGTGGGAGGAAAGCCCGAAGTGATGCAGGTCTCAGACGTTTACCACTTCGGTGAAACCCACGAGCACGGGTATGGTGCTGACGAACCTAGAAACATAAATGGGGCGAACCGGGATTCGAACCCACAATCATAGGTTTCTGGCGTGCCCAAGGGACTCAACTCTGCACAGCGAAACGCGGCGCCTTAGACGGTTGGGCCACCCGTGCCCCCTGTATTTCTTGAAATTCGAATGTTAAGTTTGAAAAATTCTAATACTTGTCATGTTACTTTATGTTCAGTGTAGATTTGGATCTTGTAGCAATATTCAAGCCACATTGCAACCTGGGACCCGAAGAATAGACACATTTTGCATGTTTCTTTCAGAACCAATCGTAATAACTGAGCATCCGCCGCCACTTCAAGAAATCGTCAAGGGCGATCGCGTTCAGCTGACAGTGAAAGCTACAACTGACCCGGGGATGACCTTGAGAGAAAGATGGCGCTTCAAGAATCAAACCTATGACAATAATGCGCCTCCTCATGTGATCTACAATGATGTCACAAAGGAAGCCTATATCGACACGTCAGGCCTCACTGATGCGGAGTTTGAAGCGATTATTGGCGTGTACTACCGGGACCTGTATCACCAATACGATAGCTACACAGTAACAATTAGTGTGGCACTAAAGGGGAGAGGTTGGTGTTCTGTAATCTTTTCTTAATTATAATTAACACACACTCATCTCGTTTACAAGGCCCGGTAAAAAAAAAATCAATGAGGTCTTGGCGGGAGCGAGTGAAAGAGAACACACCTAACACAATTAATACTAGTACGTAAAACATGTCAATGTTACTGAATGGTACATTCAATGAACATCTAACGTATATGTATATTTAAGGTAACATAGCGATGGTGAAGAAGTTATGTCGAGCAATATTCTAGAAGGTCCAGCCTTTTGTGTCTTCATTTCACAACGTTTGAGGTTTTATCGAGCATGCCCTTTCCACAAAGATTTCAACCTTGCGTGGTAACCCAAAGGTATTTCAGATATGTTAAGTTTGATGATATTTCAAACTCTTCTGATTACTAATCAGAATGGATATTCTGACATAGCTTTATATTACTTTCTGACATGAGAGTAATCAAAATTTATTTTGTTTTATCAAGTTCATCTTAAGGCCTGATAATAGAGGCTCCTAACCTCTCTTCTGTTCTATTTAAGCAAAGTTGTGTGTCATCTGCATATTGTCCTAATTTATATTGTTCAATTCTTTTAAAGTCTTTATTGCTTCTTATCATAGTTCCAAGCATTTCAGGATGAAAAGTTAGGGCGATATTGGTTTTCCTATACACAGACCCTTTTGTCATAAAACGATGACAAAATGCCATTTTGTAAAACACAGGATGTAGTGTTTATATATATGATAACACCTGAGCAAATTATCTCATGTTAAGTTTAGGGGACACTATGTCCAAAAATTCTTTTTCAAAATCGATAAATGGTATCATATAGTACTAATAGATGTTTTGTTTTTGTTGGAAACCTGATATCGTACAGAAGTCTTAAGTGATAACCGATAATTTTATCATCTACCTGTAATGAAACATGTCACTCATCTTTGTGCTTAATTTATTGTTTCTGTGATAATTTTGTAGACCCAAATTCCTGAATCTTTCCAAAAGAATTTTTTTAAAAACTCAACCGGGAAGCAATCAATACCCTGGCGTTTATTATTTTTCATGTTCTTTTTAACAGTTTTTATATTTCTTCAATTTTGAATTCTTTATCGAAGAGCTGTTTATTTAATTTAGTATTTGTATGAACTTAAGATATCTATCGTTTCATCGTCAGAAGCTTTCTAGAGCCTTTGATAGAATTTCTTTGTTCGTATAAGGCCACGTCTCCTTGACTTTTTCCCCCACCGATGTCATTGATCAGTTCACTTATGAGGTTATTTGTGTTATTTTTGTTCTCTAAGTTGAAGAAAAAAATATTATTTTTTTTACTTTCTTCTCACCACAGGATTCCAATTCCAATCCTCTAGATTCTTCTACTTTTATTTTTAAAAATTCGGTTTTGTATTTTGATATTTCAGCTAAAGTATACGTAAAAATGGAGGCGTCATCCTATATTTGTTTCAGATAAACGTTGACTGCAATTCAGTTCTTACCCACCCACCCCACCCCCTTCCAGCGTCTATACGTCTATCAATGGAAGACGTGCAACATGTGGCCGCAATGAGGATTGGCGGATCAGTAACATTTACTTGCCTCAGAAAAAAACCAACAATAATTTGCCCATGATTTTACATGCATGAGGAGTAAGAAAATGGACATTCTCGAAATAGACTTTTTTTATGAAAGTGATTTTGCATTTTATCTTTTAGTGGAGGGTCATCCAACAAATTGACAAGCATTAGGGGAGGGTCATTATTTTTTGTACATTAATGCATCAGAAACCTCTGATTGTTTCAGGTGCAGACGTCTGTGAAGAACACTCACTGTATCCGTGGATATATTCATTGTCTGCGGCAGTCGTTGTGCTCCTGTTCATAGTGGTGTTTTTAATTATAAGAAGGTATTCACTTTAGGTCTCCTCACTAAACCACAAGTTACAAAGAATCTATTGATCTACTTTTTTCTTTTGCCATTTTGGTGACCTCTTCACGTTTTATAATGTCTGCTTATTTCCATGGAGTTTAAGCTGTAAGTACCCTCGACCCAGAATGGATAGTTCAACTCGATTTTGTTTAACGGAAGGCATAGTCTATGTATTACTATTGTGGAATAGGGAGAAAATGTGGTTCTTGCTTTTCTGGTTTTATTTAAACACTCACTCAATGTTACGAGTCGATTCCCAAATTGAAACAAGATGTTAACCCAGGTGAGGTGGGGTGAAATGGGGTTTAACGTCGCGTCCAAGATTATTGCACTTATATAGCGACGTGCATGCACATGTGTGTGTGTGTGTGTGTGTGGCTGCTTGTACTACTTCGGACTGATGCCGATTTATAGTGCTAGCACACTGAGATACCTTGCCGCAGTTTAACATGAATACCCCACTCAGACACAGTATACTGACTCCGAGCCGACCAGTCCTTGTTTTAACCCCTTAATGCCGAGCGTCAGACAGGGTAACAACAAGTACCATCTTTTAACGCCTTTTGGTATGACGCGGCCGGGGATCGAACCCCGGACCTTCCGCTCTCCGTGCGGACGCTCTACCACTAGACCACGGAGGCGGTCTGTTAACCCAGGAATAAGTACGTAATAGAACTTAGTGTGAAACAAGTGGTATACAATCAACAGATGTATTACAAAAATTAACTACGTTAACAAATCAATACAAATTACTGCACAACAGGTACAATGGCAGTACACAACAGAGTGGTAGTACAATATTCAATGGCATAATATGATATCATAGTAGCGGTCAGCATCAGATACATAAAAAACCCAGTGGTGATGGCAAAATACAGTGGTGGTGGCGAACGTCAGTGATAATAATATATATTCAAGTAGCGGCGAAAGTGGTCAAGCTTCTTTTCAGGGAATCAGGGATGATGAGCGATCCTCACATGAAAGCTGGTTCCGAAGCGATGAAAAGCGTGAGGGATACGTAAAAACGCTATTGTCCCCTTTTTTAATACCTAACAAGCTACTGGAAATGTCCATACCGTGCCCTCACCACATAGAACACGGACCGGAAGTTTACGCACCATACTAGCATCTAAATATAGTAATCCCTGACGACTGATCATTGTCGAAACACAATAAGCGTCTACCCAATCCCAACAGAAACAATAAAATACACTGGCATATAACAACTTCTTGAAAAAGAATATTTGGCACAAGTCATAGCAACTAAGTAGTCACGCCCGAATGCATTTATATGTGAATATTAAGGGTTATCAAGATATATAACAACCGACACAGCCAAAATAATTTGCTTTCTAAAATTGAGTAATAATACTGTACCCATAGTTTAAGGACTGTTAATACGACGCAGTTTAGAATGACATGAAAGATCAGAGTGGCGCAGATCGCAGCCGTTTACCACTTTTGCTGACAGGCTTCACATTTTGTTTAAAAGTTACAGTCGACACAAAATGAGATGAGCTAGGCAACTAGGATTTCCGTCAGCAACGATTGCCACAATATACCTACCATCAACTGTTAACCGACTAAAGTTTTTCAATTATCAGGACTTTTCTGGTGGTATTAAGTTTCAAAATAACAACCCTTCCAACAGGATGTCCTCAAGCACCATACATATACAATATAGTATGTTTCCTCTTCTGCAGGCCCATATTCACCTGTCCGTCTCAACAACCAAGTGACGCCTACCTGACTCCAGTCGCCATCAACATGAGTCATGTAGTAGGTGGTGGCGAAGCGGGAGGTAACGATGGTCCTTACTATACCACCATACTCGATGTGCCCGCGCCGAAGAAATGTTAACGCCAAATCTATCTGCAGGTGATGCCACCGTCTCACGTTGATACCACCCCTTGAGAAAGGACTTACAAATACTCGTAATTTTCTCTTCGTGTTTTTAAATCCATGCTTAGGATACGTTCAAATATTCACATGTGACTGATTGTGTTTTGTATTGTATGTTATCTTAATAACTTAGGAAAGTAATTTATACAATGAAGCCTAATTTCATAGTCACAAGCGTCCTTGCGAAATGGAGTTTACTTATTAGTACACTTACATAGTCACGTAGGTACGTGTGTGTACGTGTGTGCGTCCTCTGAGATACCATGCCGCAGTTTAATACAAATACAACATTCAAACACAGTATACTGACTCCGAGTCAACCAGTCTTTATTATCCCCTTAATGCCGAGCGCTAGGGAGGGAAACAAAAAGTACCGTCTTTTAACGTTTTTTGGTAGACGGGGATCGGTTCCCTGACATTCGCCTCGCCGCGCAGACGCTCTATCCACTACACCATCGAGCCGGTTCAAGATTATTAGAGGCGTTATATATAATACCCCAGAGATACAGTTGCGACATTCCTTATTCGTTGACAAGATTTCTCTGTGAACATTGCTCGATTCTGTAGGAATCATTGTATTACACCTATAGATCGTTATGTGGTAAAATTACTGTTTGTCTGCATATTTTTCTTTATGTATTTTCAAACAATAATTATTGTATATATATAAAGAAGAGAATACTCAAAGTGAGTGGGTGAGTGAGTGAGTGAGTGAGTGAGTGTGGTTTTAGCAATATTCCAGAAATATCACGGCGAGGACAACCAGAAATTGGCTTCACACATAGTAACCATGTTGGCAATCGAACCCGGGTCTGTGGCGTGACGAACGAACGCTTTAACCACTAGGCTACCCCACCTTCCCCTACTCGGAAACTGCTTAAAATTTCCAAAATTGTAAGATATATTAGTTTCGAGTTATAGTTGTATGGTAATAATGAACGAATTGGGAACAGTTTCAACCGGTGTACTAGGCATACTGCATATGGGTCTCCCAGTGGCGATTTGGGGAAGTCGGTCCCACTCTTCTCAACGTGGTCGGCGACCTATAACGTTGACGCACGTCTCTCTGGCATGTCCCAAACGTGTTCAATGGGGGAAAAGTCTGGGCATATTGTTAGTCATGACTCTTTTTGGATGGTGTTCTGCTGGAGGGGAGTATTGACGATGAGCGCGGGCTTTCTCGTTCTGAAAGATTAAACTTCGACCCACGTGGCTTGCAAACGGGGCAACAGATGGTGTCACTAGGTTGTCTCGAGAGTATTGTCTGGTGACCCTTAAGTGTAGTGGAGCTCGGTGAGTCATAGTGATGCCAAAAAACACCATCAACGCCCCACCGCCAAATCTGTCACGAGGTCTCAGGTTAACACTGGCTTGACAGTCACTTCGACGTGGCCAGACACGGCCATACCTATCGAAGAAGTGCAAATCATGCCACCGGACCATCGTCGATTACCCCAGTTTCGACGTTGTGTTGGAAATATGACGATTCGTTAAGGGGCGGCAAAACACGTGGCTGTCGAGCATGGAGATGAGCCTGACGGTGTCTTCTACATCTGGACGTCTGCAATTTGATTCACCGTTTGGCCTCGATTTCGTAGAACCTGCACGGGGTCGATAGTCAACATTTTGGGTTGTTTGGTACCTGTTCCACAGTTTTCTAATCACAGACTGTGAAACTTTTAACAAATTGGCCACTGCACTTATAAGTTTTACAGACATGAACGTTTTTGTACAGGATGTTTATGGTCAACACATATCTTTGCTTTATAATAATAAGTATTAACATTTATATTCTTTCATAATCCCCTACTGTATAAATTATGACACCTGGAACTCATGGGAATTAACACCTCCCAAATTTTAGAAGATATGTATTAATGTTGATATTTGTTGATGATGCAATTCTGGTTTCTGATACTATACGTAGTTTACAGCACCAGATAAATATGTTAGGTTCTTATCCAGCGAAGTGGCGAGTGACTTTTAACTTGGAAAAATTTAATGTTGTTTTTCGAAGAGGAGGAAACCTATCAGCTATAGCAGTATGTTATTATTGAAGATAGGCTTTAGCGCTCGAGGATGTAATACATATCGATATCTGGGATTAGTTTTCACTTGTAAATGAAGTCAAAGTAAAGCTGTTTATACTGATCTAGCTTTACGTGCCAAAAGGCTTTATTTGAGTTACTTACAACCAGAAAACTATGTATTACTGCCCCTGAAGTATTCTTTACGTTATTCGCTTGTCAGGTTAGTCCGATTCTTTTATACGCATATACAATTTGGGGGATCAATAGATTTGATAGTACAGAGCTACTGGCTGGTAAAAACCTTTTACAAATTGGACCACAAACACCTAAAGTTGATTGCATATGTGGCCGATATCTGATGTATATCAACCCACTTGTTCGTAGCATTGGGTATTAGTATAAATATAAAAAACACCTCCCCTAAAAGCGTACAACATATTATTATATTTAGATAATGAACCCTATATTTAGGGTAATAGAATAACTGGGCTTCAAATAATAGACACTTAATATCTTCTCATGGTTTTGGTTTTGTGTGGCTCTCACAAACAGTTGAAGATTGTTATATTGAATGATTGTGCTTTTAATATATTTCATCAGAATTGGACATCCACTATTAACAACATTTCTCGACATAACCTTGAGGAGAATTTAAAGTTTTGTTTAAAGTGTCTTTATTTGTGAATTAAAGCTTTGCAACCTATTTGAGAAGTTTAGAAATAATGATTGTACATGTAGATGTATGTGTTAGAAACCTTTATGTGATCGAAGTATGGAAGATGAATATGATTGTTACTTATAACTTTTATTGCTATCAAGATTTATTATTTACCAAAGACAAGTATCATTAATGTAAATATGAAACATTTATAACCATAATTATAACAAATCAAATCATTATGCTTGTGTATTTATCATGCTTATGAAAGAATAAAGTATTTGTTAAAACATTTTTACAATTATGTATATTGCTACTACTTGGAAATTGATATTTGTATTTGGGCCTATGGCCTTTTATACTGAATAAAGAATTGACTGATTGACTTTCTCACTGATAAATAGGACATTCAGGCAAGAAGTAGGCCCATGGGTTACACCCCTTGCTGATCTGTTTCTTCGTGCATGACTGTGAATCTGAATTTCTGCTCGGATTGGGAAAATGAAATAACGGGAATAAGGGTCAAAATGTTTAATATATGCTTCAGGTATATCGGATATCAAATTACCTATTCCGTTTCACTGATTTACCCACCTAAACTAGAAATAAAAGAGATCAGTAACACAACCTTATCTTTTTTTAGATCAGAATGACAAAATCTTTTAGCGCTCCAATAGTCAACTTTCCTTTTTATGTGGAGCAATACTCCAAGAGCTACGGCCCTTGTCTTTTTTCAAAACTTTTGAGGAACAATAGAGCATGCTTTTTCTATGGTGATTTCAAAGAATCTTATGACTTGAACAAAAGTTGTTTGATCTAGGTCACATGATACAAGGCCTAATTAGAGCTTTTAATGGACATATGGAAGACGTTTCCAAACTTCACGTATCAGTGCTCAAAACGATGCCCAATGCAAATTTGACTAACAGCAGCTCAGTATTTGATTTGTGGATCATAGGAATAGGCAGATTATTAGTTAGAAAACAGGTACACATGGAACAAATCTAACTTGTTAGAACGACTAAAGTACCACAGGAGACATATCTCTGTTATATACCTCCTGACTTCAATTCGTGAAAATCGTCGTTAGAATAGGCATTCAGTAACCAATGCTTGTCCTAAATGCGGAAGTATGGGGGCAGTCATTGACAGTGATGAAAGCCATTGATGTGACAATGATATAGACTAGAGAAAATAAAATTACGACGTCAAAGCTAGATTGGCCATCTCAGAACCGAGACGTAAGAAATGTTTTTGAAGAACGCTGATATAAACGTATTCAACCTCAATGTCAATCGAAGTCGATATGAAGTACTGTCACTTGTGTGATCAGAAACACGACCTTCATGGCTGCACATAGAAGCGAAGCCATAATACGAGTGCACGGTTCCGACAGTATCATATGGATGCGTTCATAAATCACTGGAGGCACTGGTGGCCCAATCGTCTAAGGCGCCGCGATTCGCTGTGCAGAGTTGCGTCCCCTGGGCACGCTGAAACCTTTGATTGTGGGTTCGAATCCCGATTCGCCCCGATTATGTTTCTAGGTTTGTCAGCCACACCATGGGTTTCGCCGAAGTGGTAAACGTCTGAGACCTGCATCACTTCGGGCTTTCCTCCCACATTAAGCTAACACGTCGTGATATTACTGGAATATTATTAACAGCGGCGTTAAACCCAACTCACACACACTCATAAATCACTATTAAATAGCAGCTGGACTAGATATATGGAATCATGTTCCCGTTCGTCGAAACACTTTCCTTTGCTTGTGTTTGCGACGGGTAACATCCTTTGGGTAGGAGGATGCTCTCTCCTTTTCTCGGACACCTGGTATTATCACTAATTGATAGTGAAACATACATACATGCTTTTGATACAGTCGGAATCGTACAACGGATTTCTAATGATTATGGAAATGTTTCGCACTTATATACTACTATACTACTAGACGTCACGACTGCCGTGCATGACAACTGGCACATTCAAAAACTTTTCCGTGAACGTTTGATGAACTCTTCCCAAGAAAACATTTCGATTTCTAAAGGTTTATAGTATATCTGTGTCAGGGATATGATAAGTGAGATGAACGTCGCGTTCAAGATTATCGCACTTATGTAGTGACGTGCATGCACGTGTGTGTGTGTGTGTGTGTGTGTGTGTGTGTGTGTGTGTGTGTGTGTGTGTGTGTGTGTGTGTGTGTGTGTGTGTGTGGCTGCTTGTACTAGTCCGGACTAATACCGATTTTATAGTGCTAGTCCACTGAGATATAATGCCACAGTTTGACACGAATACCCCACTCAGACAGTCCTAGTTTTAGCCCCTTACTGCCGAGCGCCGGACAGGGTAACAAGAGGTACCATCTGTTAACGTCTTTTGGTATGTCGTATCTCTCCGGGCTGACGCTCTGCCACCAGACCACGGAGCCGATGAATATGATTAGTACCAAAGATGATTGGAGCAAATTAGTGATGTTGTGCTATCAGTCCGGACCGGACGATACCCAGTGTTTCCAGTGTAACGTCAGCAACAAAATAGACTATGAATTTGCAAATGGTTGCCTCAACGTCATCGGTAAGTGGTTATATTTGTCATCAAACATGGAAACAAACGGATGGATACAAAGGGAGTTAAATCTTCATTCCTGGACAGTAATGTGACAGTTTCATGACGATGTTACTCAAGAAATGGTGTTAATTCGTGCAATGTGTGTTGTATGTATTTCTTGAAATTCGAATGACTAATGTATATTTTTTCCACATGTTAAGTTTGAAAAATTCTAATACAGTGTAGATTTGGATCTTGTATCAATATTTAAGCCACATTGCAACCTGGGACCCGAAGAAAAGACACATTTTGCATGTTTCTTTCAGAACCAATCGTAATAACTGAGCATCCGCCGCCACTTCAAGAAATCGTCAAGGGCGATCGCGTTCAGCTGACAGTGAAAGCTACAACTGACCCGGGGATGACCTTGAGAGAAAGATGGCGCTTCAAGAATCAAACCTATGACAATAATGCGCCTCCTCATGTGATCTACAATGATGTCACAAAGGAAGCCTATATCGACACGTCAGGCCTCACTGATGCGGAGTTTGAAGCGATTATTGGCGTGTACTACCGGGACCTGTATCACCAATACGATAGCTACACAGTAACAATTAGTGTGGCACTAAAGGGGAGAGGTTGGTGTTCTGTAATCTTTTCTTAATTATAATTAACACACACTCATTCGTGAGTTCAGTTATTGGCACAATATGATATCTCGTTTACAAGGCCCGGTAAAAAAAATCAATGAGGTCTTGGCGGGAGCGAGTGAAAGAGAACACACCTAACACAATTAATACTAGTACGTAAAACACGTCAATGTTACTGTAAGGTACTTTCAATTACTGTACACGTGACAGAATGGTACATTCAATGAACATCTAACGTATATGTATATTTAAGGTAACATAGCGATGGTGAAGAAGTTATGTCGAGCAATATTCTAGAAGGTCCAGCCTTTTGTGTCTTCATTTCACAACGTTTGAGGTTTTATCGAGCATGCCCTTTCCACAAAGATATCAACCTGGCGTGGTAACCCAAAGGTATTTCAGATATGTTAAGTTTGATGATATTTCAAACTCTTCTGATTACTAATGGATTGATCATCTTTGTGCTTAATTTATTGTTTCTGTGATAATTTTGTAGACCCGAATTCCTGAATCTTTCCAAAAGAATTTTTTTAAAACTCAACCGGGAAGCAATCAATACCCTTGCGTTTATTATTTTTCATGTTTATTTTTTAACAGTTTTTATATTTCTTCAATTTTGAATTCTTTATCGAAGAGCTGTTTATTTAATTTAGTATTTGTATGAACTTAAGATATCTATCGTTTCATCGTCAGAAGCTTTCTAGAGCCTTTGATAGAATTTCTTTGTTCGTATAAGGCCACGTCTCCTTGACTTTTTCCCCCACCGATGTCATTGATCAGTTCACTTATGAGTTTATTTGTGTTATTTTTGTTTTCTAAGTTGAAGAAGTTTTTAAATTTTTTTTTACTTTCTTCTCACCACAGGATTCCAATTCCAATCCTCTAGATTCTTCTACTTTTATTTTTAAAAATTCGGTTTTTTATTTTGATATTTCAGCTAAAGTATACGTAAAAATGGAGGCGTCATCCTATATTTGTTTCAGATAAACGTTGACTGCAATTCAGTTCTTACCCACCCCCCTCCCCCGCCCTCCCAGCGTCTATACGTCTATCAAGGGAAGACGTGCAACATGTGGCCGCGATGAGGATTGGCGGATCAGTGACATTAACCTGCCTCAGAAAACAACAATAATTTGCCCATGATTTTACATGCATGAGGAGTAAGAAAATGGACGTTCTCGAAATAGACTTTTTTTGATGAAAGTGATTTTGCATTTTATCTTTTAGTGGAGGGTCATCCAACAAATTGACAAGCATTAGGGGAGGGTCATTATTTTTTGTACATTAATGCATCAGAAACCTCTGATTGTTTCAGGTGCAGACGTCTGTGAAGAACACTCACTGTATCCGTGGATATATTCATTGTCTGCGGCAGTCGTTGTGCTCCTGTTCATAGTTGTGTTTTTAATTATAAGAAGGTATTCACTTTAGGTCTCCTCACTAAATATACATGTGGATGTAAACAAGCGAAATAAATATGGTTTGAAAACGAACGCTGGCGTCAAAGATTAACTCTTCATTTATGTGGAGCTATTTTTTTTCTTCTAACGAATGTGTAAGGTTTACATATGCATACAAATCCATTTGGTATATAAACTGATGTCCAAAAGAAACTTTACCAACTGAAAATATAAATTTCAGACAAAGTATAATTTTTTTTCGATGAATGTCTATCTAAAACATATAACCTAAATACAACAATAGTGTATGCAGAAAAGGTTAATCGTCTGTTACATGTTTGCGAGATAACACGCGAAAAAGTGAAAAACACGTGCACCACGGACAACTGCAAATGCACGTGCGGGTGAGGGTAAAAACCATTGCAACGGCAAGTCAGACATCCACAGTGATAAAAAAACACAAAAGAAATGCCACGCCTCACGGTCGAACAACGTGAACGAGCCTAGGGTATGGTACAGATGGGAGCCACCCACGCCCATATTGCACGAAACTTCGGTTGCTCCCGTGTTGCCGTTACCAATTTGATGCAACGTTACAGACAGACAGGGCGGACCGCTGACAGGCCAAGAACAGGCAGACCCAGGGTGACCACGCCCCATGATGACCGGTACTTGCGTACCTTGCACCTCCGAAATCGCTTCCTGACAGTGACGTCATCGGCGACAAATGCCTTAGGTCACAGGGTTAGTCGACAGACAGTGGCCAGGAGACTCAGGGCTTTTAGACCATACAGAGGACAGCTATTGACAGCGCAACATCGTCGACGTTGGCAACGGCGTGACTGGCAGAGGGTTGTCTTCACTAACGAAAGTCGATTCTGTATGTTTAGGGCTGATGGAAGACAACGTGTTTACCGCCGAATGGGTGAACGAACGTCGGCGTGTTGCGTGCAGGAGGTCGTGCTATATGGTGGAGGGAGTGTCATGGTGTGGGGAGGGATCTGTGGGCAGGAGAGGACACCGCTGGTCATCGTTGACGGAAACTTGACAGCTCAGCGTTACATGGATAACATTCTTCGTCCAGTTGTCCTACCATTTCTCCAACAGCAGCCACGTGGTGTCATTTATCAGCATGACAACGCTAGAGCCCATACAGCCAGAATTGTCACTAACTTCCTCGCAGCCAACAACGTCAACGTCCTGCCGTGGCCTGCACGCTCACCCGACA